TGGTGGGTAACAAACGTCTCCAAAAACATTAGAGCACTTTTGCAAATATGTGATATATTGATAAATCGAGCAGATATTTGAAGTTTACACACCTACATTCTCGCCTGAAAATATCTTGAAAGAGTAATATTTCAAACTCTTCAGCCGCGCTCCTCTGGGATAGTTTAGGCCATGAAGGATGCACCCGACTCATTCTTCAAATTCGGGGAAATGAAGAACGAATTTGTCAGCCGTATTTGGAGCAGTCTTCAAATTGGGACAGCCTATGTCGCGTCGCTGTGAAGTAATCAGCCTTCAAATGCGGCCTCCAAAGGATGCACCCCTTGAATGACGAGACCAAGGGGAAGTAAAACTGACACAGATGCAGACTGTCAAAGTAAAACGGGAAACATAACACAGAGACACAAACTTGACAAGGAGATATGGATGATAGGGGCGACAGAGCAAACATGGAACAGAGAGACAGAAACCAAAAGACTAAGAACTCTAAATAACACTGAAACCAAAGACAAGAGAATGTAAATAAGACAAAAACAAAGACTATTAATAATAAACAACACAAAACACTGGGTCACGACCCAGGACCGTGACAATTTAGGGAAAAAATGTGCAACTTATTTACACATTCAGATAAAACTTTCTTACAAGAATAAAGTTTTGTTTATTAAATTCTTTCAGTGCCTGATAGAAAGCTTTCAATATTCTCGGCCCAGATTGCATCGTTGAAACTGATGAAGACCAAGAGACAGTTCAATCCTCATCATCTTGTCCTTTTGTGACCATTAACAAAGCAATCTTGATACAGTTCTCTTCTACAAGATGATGGGTGTTTTGAGCAATCATTATCAACACAGCCAAGACAAACACAAAGCAATACTGTAATCAAGTCTTTTGTGTGCAGATGGCAGACGTGCATATCCAAAGACGTGCATTTGTGGCAGTGGGTATCCAAATTGTAGTCACTTGCTTAATCTGAAGCTTTTGAATCAGTGTAACAAGATGACAGCTGTGCAGCGGAATATAAAGCAGTGTAGAGAATGATGCCGTAAAATGATATAATACCAGCGTCTACAGTTATCAACATGGCGGCGTTCCAATTTATGAGGACTGAATCATTGTTATTACATGAAAATTGGGTACTCATCGGTCACACCACACCCACTTTTGAACAAACATGCTACTTTCAGCTGCTCCCATGTGACAAGAGGTCACCAGCAACGACACTGCTTGTTTGATTTGGCATTGTTTTAAGTCGTATAACTTTCCTGACACAACTGCAAAAGGAAGCATATATATGACTGTGGCCAAATGGTGGCAGATAGAAGGATGGTGAACCAGTATATACAGGACAACTCCAAGTACCCGTATTCCACAAATGTCAACATGAATGATACTAAAAGCTTAGCCACGGCCAAACAGCTCTAGTGAGTAACACAGGTGCTGAGATGCTGGTTAAGCCACATGCAGAGATAGATGCCACTAATGTCAAGACAGAAAAACAAAGCACCAGGAGTTCCACTCAAAGTCCAGAAGCCTGAAGCTCTCCGAGCAATGAAAAGAGGGAGGGCGATGATTGGTAAGTGTCAGAGCCACGATCCAGGAAAAAACAAATAACATCTAATATATCACGAACAAGGCCTCCCCTTAGATGGGCGCCTTAGGCAGCTGAAGACAGACAGTGACAATGAACAGAAGGAGAAACTAATCCCCTCCACTGGATGTGCCACTGACAGACCAAGGAAGTGCCTGACATCAAGAAGTCCGAGCAGTGGCAAGAAAAGGTTGGCCTAATAGACAGCACAAAAGCTCTGATCATGGCTACACAAAAACAGGCCCTAAGCTCCAGCTTCATAGAGGCAGGACTCTATAACAGCTGACAGTACCCAACCTGCAGGCTATGCAGAGGTGCACAGGAGACAGTCCTGCACATAGTAAAAGGTTACAAGATGCAAGCTCGGATATCAATGAAAAATGAGACAAAGATGAAATCTTTCACTGTCAAGAAGGACATCTCAGTAATTGTTAGAGATGGAGCAGATGCATGGGACAAAAGAGAGAAAGCCCTTCAACTTCTTCATTTCCGGTTAATACTTGTACAGCTGCTGTTATTGTGTATATATTTATTTATATTTAGATTTCTTCATACATTCTTATATAGTTCTATATTGTGTATTGTGTATTTTGTTGCACAGTTATTTTATTTTCAACTTTAATTTATATATTTTATCTTATTCTCCCAGTTAAATTTACCCTTCATTCTAATTTGTGTTGTACAGTTATTTCATTTTTAACCTTAATTTATATTTTATTCCTTCCTAGTTAAATTTACCCTTTTTAATTTTTCATATTTATTTCCTATCTTATTCATAGCCTTTCCTTTTTTGTTTTCTTTAGGTCACGAGCAGTTGTCCAAGCATTTCACTACATATCGTACTGTGTATGACTGTGTACGTGACAAATAAAATTTGAATTTGAATTTGAGCCGGGACACTGCTAGCACGGGGCTCCCGCAGAAACACAAAACAGGAGATGAAGCATCGCTGAATATGTTTCCAAACCAAACTCATTCTAAGCCAAAGACTAGAAAATATGGTGAAGCATATCTTCCCTTTGGTTTCACCTGCACATGTGCCGATGTAGGTCTCCCCTGCAGAATTGGTTTTCCCTTTGTTGGGAGCATGGGCTGGGCTCTTCAAATCACGGACAAGCAGTATACCACATTCTTGATTTTTGTTCACAAACACTTCTTGTAATGACTAACTACACCTGACTTTTTGGAGATGTTAGCTCTGTATACAGTAAAGTTACAGCGGGATACAAATAATATCAGGCTGATCCTGCCATGATTTGTTCAAATCACGGACAAACAGCATCCCACAGTTGTTCATGTTTTTAAACCCATTTTGCACAGAGAGGCATTTTTTGGACAAATGTATTGATAGCAATGTTGAATATTATTACACAGAAGAAGAAAAAAACAACTACACGTAAAAATAATGACATGGTGACGCCTCTACCTTTGTAAGTGGAGGGACAGTAACTGCATGTAAAACCTGAAGACAGTCAGATTAACAGTAACAGTATTTCGTCTCGATCTGCCTTTCTGCAATTCATCTCATGTAAACAATAACGTGGAGCACAGCCTGACGTGAAAAGAGGCACATACCTTTGATGTTGCCAGACAAACTCTGTATTCCTCGTCCGCAATAAAGGAGTTTTAAAAAATCTCCCTTTTCAGTGATTCGAAACGCCGTTTACATGTGGATGAAACAGCTGGTTTTCAAAAATGCCTGTGTAGGTGTGGACATAGCGTAAAAGAGTTAGTAGTTTATTTTATTACTAACTGTCATTTATTGCAGGTGCACGCACAGGGGGATGGGGGGGCGCGAACATTTTTCATGTAAAACAAAGGGGGGCCCAGCAAAAAATGTTTGGGAAACACTGGGTTAAATGATGGCTCTATAATTCAAGGTTTTCTTTAATTACACCCAACAGACATTACTACATTTTTACATGTCACTGAGTGTCTGTCCACAAATACACAGACAAAGACATACATCTGCCAAAGGGCGCAAAATACCACTGTTGTATTTTCTGCTACAGTTTTTAAAAATGTTAGATGTTAGACAAACACAAAAATGAAAAACACAGTTAAAATAGCACCAGCTGTGTTACCACATGTGATGAAGTGAGAGCTTCTTAAAAGTGGCAAAAAGCAAAACCCCAACATAATTGAATGGTTCTGTTTTCTCATAAGCAATAGCCTAATCACGCTGAATCAATTTCCCCTTTTCTTTGTTGTCTCCTCATTTTTCCTGCTGTTTGTTACTAATTAAAAAGAAATTAGTAAAAGGGAGCTTGTGCATTTAAAACCGAGAGCCTTTATCACATTCTTTAAAGCGGTTGCTGTGCAATCACTGATAATCCATTAACAGATTCATTTTCTTGGCCAACAAAGGCCAAGAGATTAGACAAACGGCAATGCATTTTGTAAATAATCCATTGTTTTATTTAGATTAGACTGGTTGATGGTACAGGAGGCAAAATTGGAGGAAAAAATATGGGTCTTGGTTTCAAACCCACGTGACCATTAAAAAATGGATTTTTTTCTCACACTCAACTATTTCTCAGCAAAGTTAAATGCATTTTCAAATCTCAGCAACTAGCTTAATGTCTTACCCATCTTCAAATTCAGCCTTCGGTTTGCTCTAAGTTATATATCTGCAAAATTTCTTGATTGCACAGACAGACAGATCTGATCTGCCCACAGACATGTAAACACCTTTTGTAATAGTATCTGCTGCTGTAGCTGGACACAATCAGCTACACCGTCCACTTTGGTACTGGAACATGCTGAATTATTGAACTGAACTACTGTTGACTTATAAGGCCTAAAATAAAATTAACAGCAAAAATTCAGAATTATTGATTAGTCTAAGGAGTAAAAGAACAAGTGAACACAAAACCGAAATATTACTGTCTGTAAACACATTTTTGGCCACTTGGGAGACTGATTTGCATCAAATTGGCCTCTGAGATGAGATTGACTATTTGCAGAGAGCTCCTTCATGGACAGCAGCTATTTCTGTAGATGAGTACTGTGAGAATGAACTGAAATAGTTGTAGGTGGGTCAGCTAAATGACTGTGAAACATTAAGAGCCACAAAGATCTGAATCATTACTCTCAGTATATTCCTCGCTGCAACCAACCCTTCTTTGTTTCTTTAGACATTTGTTAAAGTTTTTTTTTTCATTCATTCTCAACAATCATTAGGTTGGGCTCATACTCAACCTTTGTTTCACTGTCATCTAAAATGCCTGTAAAGGTTCAAGATCACCTCAACAACAAATGTAGAAAGTTTGGTCATTGTATGTCTTTCACTTTCATGTTGACAAAGTCAGCCCACAGACATACAAACACCCACCACGTGCAAAGGTCTTTTTTCAGTAAAAACACGCTTTATCAGACTTGCCGAGCAAAGACCTCCAGCTGGTATGGGTGGTTTGCAGCCAAGTCTGAAGTGGCGTGAGGTCTGAAGTCCTGGTCCTCGTACACCAAAAGGCTGGATTGTACACTCGGGTTAGAAATTAGTTACAAAAGGAGGAGTTCAAGTATCTTGGGATCCTGTTCACAAAGAATGAGTGAGGAGTGAAAGATGGACTGGATCAGCATCTGCAGTGATGCAGAGCCGAGTGAGAAGGTGAGGCTGACGATTTATGGGTCAAGTACACCCATATGGAAAAGTTATATATAAATCTTATAAAGTTTGTACCTGTCTTGTGTGAAACTTGTATGAAAAGCATACAAGAGTAAAAACAGATATAAGATCCCTTGAAAAATTATATAATGAAACTTGTATGTTTTGGATACTTACTAAAACAATATATGAAAGTAATGAGAAAGTGGCCACTTTCATGAGTAAATCATGTAAGCCTTATATGATTTACTCATGAAAGTGGCCACTTTCATGAGTTAAGTCATATAAGTTTTTACTATTTCTTTTCCATATGGGCATTCCTGCACTCATAACTAAAAGCGGCAGAGGGGAGATCCAGATGAGGTGTTACAGCATCTGCTCAGGTTGCCTCCATGATTTCTTCTAAGTGAGCTGTTGCAGGCATGGCCGACTTAAAGATTACTCCAGCTTGGCTGTGCCCACCTAGAAGAGCTGGAGGGAGTAGAAGATCTGGGCTTCTCTGATTAGACTGCTGCCTCTGTGACCTGATCCAGGGTGAACTATGTAGGGATGGAATTTATCAAACACTGTTACTGTAATAGAAAAATGATAACAAGTTTGTCACTCTGAAACATATAGAATATCAAGCAGTTGCTTATTTGGTGCATAACTGAGGTCTAGGTCACCACTGTGATGACTCTAACACTATCCTTTCAGAATGTGTCATTTTTCTTCTTTTTAAATACTGTTCATACCCAACATGCACTTAGAACAAAAATGTGACAAGATAACAAAAGTCACATGCTACATGCTCCCTACCACGATTGGTACATTCAACCTATCTTATCCCCAATCTGCAGCCCCAGGAAGTGGGCAAGTTTGAGCCACTTTATTATAAAGTTGTTTTTAATTCAATTCCAGACATGGAAAATATTCTAAGAAGAGTTTGGGCAGATAGTAAATGTTGGAGCTATTAGCTGAGTACACTGCCTGAGAGTATCATATTGTGCTTTATTCACCGCATCCATCTGAATGTATTTAATGACAAAATTGATGCTGTATTCCGAAACAACTTTTCCCCAAACTTTTCTTTACAAAATCATGACAATGTGCTCAGTTAGCATTATGCAGGGTCACTCACACTGGAGACATATTGGAGGCATTTATCTATATCCATTTACAAACACCAGAGCTGTGGACAAAGGCGTTTGCTAATGCAGGCTTGAGGAAGAAAAACATATCAGGTACAGAAAAAGGAGGCATGTCTTGGCAGGAAATCTCCCGGGACACCAGGGTTCACTGAGCGCTGGTGGTCTTTAAACTCCCTTGCTGCTGAGGGTGTGTTTTGCTGAGACAGTGATTCATTAACATACATATGAGAAAAGTGTACTCACAGGAGAATTAGAAGATTTAAGTTTTTAACTGTGTAAGGCTTTGACAGGCGTGTGTGTGTGTGTGTGTGTGTGTGTGTGTGTGCTCTTGAGGTCATATTGAAAGTGTGTGAAAGAGCGTGTTCCCTATTTGTCCTTGATGCTTTATTTCCACAGAAAGTGGTCAATTAGTTCCAAAAGTGTATCAGGTGGATTTAAAAATATGATAATGCATGCAGCAAAGTGGACGAGTTTGCTTAGGCACGATGCTAGGCAATTTAGTGCTTCACAGCTATTGTAGCTGCTTTAAGACTGCAAAGCCTTAGGCTCTTTACAGAGTAATAAAGGGTGGTCAGTCTGTGCATAAAAGGCAGCAAGGAGTTGAGTGTTTAAATACTTAACCGCTATGCATATACATGCAGGTTTTGTAGGAATTTAAATGGGATTTAATGTTTCTATAAAACAGACACCTAGGGGTTGAAAATATTCATCTTATAAACGGCAGTCTTTATTTATGTTTTTCTTTGAAGTTTTTGGGACATGCTGATAAATTATCTAGCTAAAAAAATGAAAAAGTAATTCAAGGATACAAACTATTTAAGGTTGATGCCAGGCAAGCCTCACTTGGTTAGTGTTTGCAAGGGAAACACAGCAGAAGTAGCTTACAAAGCAAATAAGAACATTGTTATGGATTCTTTGCTATACGTAAAAGCATGAGTAGCTGACAGTTACACACCAGTTCATGTTGGTAGTGTTTACTTTGTTATTTGTTATTTAGTTTTGCTTCCCGGTATTCCGTGATTACTGTTGCCTGCTGATAGTTACTTCCACTTTCTTATTTGGGTCTTAATTATTTACACAAAGCATCATTATGTCATAATATTCTTTTCATTATTTAATTCCTTTTTTAAAAAACATGTGTGACCAAATGATTGTACACCACTGCTGCCTTTTTGGTCAGGACACACTTTTAAAATAAATTTTTAATCTCAATACTTTCATTTTTTTTCCTGGATATATAAAGTTTGAATAAAATAAATTAACACTTCTGTATTTTCATATGTGAACCCAACTCATTTACTTAACAGCTGCAGCTTTTTCTTCTTTAACCTTAGTGCATGGGTTGTAATTAACTAGCAGAAACAAATCTGTGATACAGTGACAAATTCAACCAGTGCATTTATTGGCATTTGTAGCAACAAGGCCAGTGGAGGAGCTGGGATCAAACCACCAACCTTACATTTAATTTAGAACGCATGATGCCTCCTTTACTCCAACTAGATTACCAAATGTATTTAATAAAAAAATAGTTAGCAGTGTGTGACATAATAGCATTTTCCACTGAGCGAGCAATTACACTCCTTTTTAATAGCACCACAACAATTAAAATTTGTTTCAAGGGAACCTGTAAAACCAAATTGTATCCAGACTGAGAAGGTTCATTCAAAACTGCAATAATATTACAGTTTTTTTTCACAAAAATATTTCTGACAGTATTTATGACCAAAAAGGCTTTGGGGGGCTTTCAACCTGGAAGTGCAGGATTCAGAGGCTAGTGTTGCTAAGCTCGTATAATACCCACATTGTGTTGTAGTTTATTTGTGTTGGGTAAATTAAGTTTACATTTACAAATAAGCTGACTTGTCCACTTTGCCATGATAAGAGCAGGAGCAAAGCCAACACATGACACCATCTGCTGCCACAACAAGCATCACCTGTAGGCAGTGCTGTGAGTGGCAAACACTTGTCCTTTAATCAAAGCAAAGGGCTGCCAGTTAATAACCAAGGAAGAGGAGGTATAGATGCCAAAAGCAAAAGACAACACCTGTTGTAACAGGCTAAAACCCTGCTAGCAGCTGTTATAAGGAGAAGTAAGAGTGTGAACAAGCATGCAGACACTTTCTCATATTCATGTGGGTGGAGGTGTTAAACGGTTTGACTGAAGGGTGGTACTAGAAGAAAGGTCACAAGGTTGTTTATCCACGAGGATTGTTTAAGAAAATATTATGTGGCGATTTTGTGTGCAAAAATGGTATTTTGGCCAAAAGGTGAGGGAGATCACAAAATCAATATTTGGTATTTGGCAAATAAGGTGATTACCATTGGAAGGATCATAAGTAGGGATGGGTACCGGTATCCGATGCCATTATGGCACTGGTTCTGACATAAACGGTAGTAACCAGACCGAAAAACAGCGCACATTTTGGTGCTTTTTTTTGCTGAGATGTAATACACTTTGGATTCTAGTCAATCATTTTACCTTTCCAAGGATAGTGGAAAGGTAAGGCGGGCCCAGGTACATACGTTCTTTTACAGCAGAACTACAGATTAAAAATGGCCAAGGTGAAGCGGTCAGAAGTCTTGCTGTACTTCACAGTAGTGATGGGATTTCCGGCTTTTTTTAGAGAACCGGCTCTTTCGGCTTCGGCTCACTAAAAAGAGCCGGCTCTTTCAGCTCCGAACCGGCTCTTCAGGTTGTTTTGTTGCTTTAATTAATTTATTATTAACAATAATATAAAATTATGCACAAAAGGAATTACTAATGTAAAAAAGTGGTTTTATGTTTATATATAAATATATGCGGTGGCCCCTAGAGACAAAGCACGTACAAACTCCAAAACACATTTCTAGCGTTAACTGAACTTCCAAAACAGAGCTACCTAGATCACTTAAATTACACAATTGAAAGCATATGTGTATTGTTTGTGTATTTATACACAAGCACTCATATATATTCAAATAATTTAAAAAAATGTTCATTTACCTGTTACTACCACACACCAAATCCGGTCGTTGGTACTTGCTGGCTTGTGTAGCCACTAGGTAACAAAAGCTCAACACTGCGCCCTAGCATCCTGGAGCACTTCTGTTGTCTTTTGTACGTGTTTTGGAGTTTTTACGTGCTTTGTCTCTAGGGGCCACCGTAAATATACTTTTATTTATTCACTCCACATAAAATGTAATAAATAAATCATATAATACAAAAACCAACTATTCACATTTCAACTTTTAACTATTTAAATTTTCAGCTTTTTCCTTTTAAACAAATTTAAAGTGAAACAACACAAAACACTGCAAACCACAACACAATTAAATATAAAAAAGCTGCAAAAAGAAAAATGCTGCAACACCTGTTTAACCCGAGTGACCACCCGGTCAGCTGGTGGGTAACAGGCATCTCCGAAAACGTTAGAGCACTTATGCAAATATGTGATGTCTTGATGAATCGAGCAGATATTAGAAGTTTACACAGCACCATTCTCGCATGAAAATATCTTAAAAGTTTATTTTGTGACCCAGAAAGAGTAATATTTCAAACTCCGCCACTCTGTGTTCCTCCGCCACTGCCTCGTTTGAGTTTTGGACGAAATGGATTCTGGGATATTGCATTTCGTCATTTCGAGCTGATTGGAGACCAGAACAGCCAATCAGATTTTTTTGCATCCAAGTCTGTGATTGGCTGGTTTTGTGGCACAAATATAACGGTGTACAGAAAGAGTTGAGCATGCACGGGCAGAAATGTTGAGAGCGTGAGCAACACATTGCGAGCGAGCGCAAGTGCAAAAACTGAGCAAGAGAGGCTGCTATTGTGTGTGTGTGGATAACAGCAAACACTGAAATACATTTTTTGCACGCAGCAATGAATTTTGTTCACTCAAATTCAGCTTTTCTTCGCTCAAAATAAATTTCTCCTCAAAATGCAACACTTGCATCTGCAATTTGTTTTTTACGTGCGCTCAGAATAGTGGCACAAAAATAACGCCATATAGAGCTGCAGAAAAGGCTAACGTTGTTGTCTTTTTACAAAAAAAAAAACAGCTAAACATGAGAGGTTATAGGACAAAGTTTGTGTTTTCCATTGTTTAAGCACCAGTTCCAACCAAATGAGGTATGTTGTATCAACAGAAAAGGCTAACTTGGTTATCATTTTGCAGAAAAAAAGAGACTTCTACAAATAAAAACATAAGAGGTTTTTGGACAAAGTTTGTGTTCTCCATTCTTTAAGCACCGGTTCGACCACCGTTTAAGCACCGGCACCGTTTCAAAAGTACCGGTTTGGCACCGATATCGGATAAAACCTAAACGATACCCATCCCTAATCATAAGGTCACTAAACAGACCACATCATCTACATGTTTGTATGTGGCTCCCGATGAAAGAAAAGGTGCAGGTGTTAGAAATCATGGTAAAATTGTCCACTGGGGATAATCAATAACCAGAGTTACCATTCTCTGAGTCTGCACTTTCTAATTTTTATGAATGGCCACACCACATTCAAGATGTTGATGGACAAAAATCTGTCATGAGCCACAGCATGATGTTAAAGGGAATAAAATAATGTGATAACCTTTTTCATATAAAATTAGAAATAAAATTGCAAAAAAAACCCCTAAAACAAATCCTTGTCAGATGCCCGAACCACCTCAACTGGCTCCTTTCAATGTGGAGGAGCAGCTGCTCTACTCTGAGCCCCTCCCGAATTGCCGAACTTCTCACCCTATCTCTAAGGGAGAGGCCAGCCACCCCTCCTGCCGCTTGTATTCGCAATCTTGTTCTGTCGGTCACTACCCACAGCTCGTGACCATAGGTGAGGGTAGGGACGTAGATCGACTGGTAAATTGAGAGCTTCGCTTTTACATTCAGCTCTATCTTCACCACAACAGAACGGTACAGCGTCCGCATCACTGCAGCTGCTGCACCAATCCGTCTGTCGATCCCCCGCTCCCTTCTCCCATCACTCGTGAACAAGACGCGGAGATACTTAAACTCCTCCACTTGGGGCAGGGTCTCGTCCCTGACCCGGAGTGGGGACTCCATCCTTTTCTGCCTGAGGACCATGGCTTCAGATTTGGAGGTAAAAACATGAAAATGGAAATAAAACATGTTATATGTTATTGTATGCATTAAATTAGTTCCAAAAGTGTATCAGGCAAGAGCTACAGAATCTTACTCAGAACCAAAACCCTGCCCATTACCCTTATCTGTCCTTGATTTGGAAAATGTTTATGTATTCACATAGCTGACTAGTAGGTTGACCCTAGGTTTAACCTGAAGTATTTCCATGCTTTTCATGGAAGACACAAACTTATTAAAGAATAGTCAGGCTATTCTTTGGCGACTTTGAAGTTTACTTTAGGTACTTAAAGATATATATTTTGCATTTATTTGCCCCATTAAATACTTAAATAGGAGTCTAAATACTTGGAAAATAATTATCAAAACAAAATTAGGTTTAAACCCAGTCTAGTGAGCATCTTCTGCACGTTGTCCTGCTTCCAGAAGGACAATGTGACCATCTTTACAAAGCAAAAGTAAAGTGTGAATTTTTAATTTTTATCATTAGTAACCAGATCTCAATCCAACAGAGCACCTTTGGGATGTGCTGGAACAGGAGAGTCACATCATGGGTGTGCAGTCAACAAATCGGGAACAACTGTGTGACGCTATCATGCCTTTTCCTGAATTCTTTTCAAGCATCAGACGCTCAGGATGATGTCCCTGGCTCCGCTCGTGTAACAAAACAAAATGAAATACTTATTATTGATGGAAAAAAAACTACTTGGTGAACAAAGTTTGTTGTGCTAGGAGTTTACAAGAGTACAGCAGTTCATCAGAGATATTCTAACAGTCCCCCCCCCCTTTTTTTTTTTGTTTTCTGTCTTATAACAAGTTTTTGCAAGTAATTTTTCTGCCCATTCATCATGCAATGATCCAAACCAGGTGGAGGAAATTTCTGCTATTCCCACAACAATGGATTGTGAAACCTTTAAGTGAACTGCGACAAACATTACCTTGAATCCTGAAACCAATTATGTGCTGTTTGTAGCAAAATCCTTATATGCATTCTTGCAGGAAATATACAAAATAAAATCATGACTGAGCAGAAAGAATTACAAGCTGGCATTCATTTTAAGTGAGATGTGTGCAGGACAGCAATTCTAGCGTGTGTGTGTGTGTGTGTGTGTGTGTGTGTGTGTGTGTGTGTGTGTGTGTG